CGAACGAATCCGTCGGACGATGGGTCTTGATCTTAACTCCAATGCCAATCTCAGCCATTTATCCATCTTCCATGGGACTCCGAATCGTTCGACGAACGACTCGAAATTACCGATATATATCCAAAACTTTCTCTCGTTATCCTTTTTTCCAGACGTAACCGATCACGATGTACGCAAGTATATCCCTCCTCGCGCAATAAACGAGACTCTCATTGTCAGAGTGGATGATTTTTGAAGAAAATGAATTTTGAATGAAGATTTTGAAGAAAACGTAATTTGAAACTTATCTACGTGTTTTATATTTATATTTACATTTTTCAAATATCATTCCATTCGTTTTATTTTTTATCTATCTACTTATTTCGTCCTACAAGTCACAGACACTATAATAATTTGCATTTATTATATAAGAAAAATTCAAGGTATTTAATTTCATTTCACATCCTCTCTGATAGATCAAGTGAAATTAAAAGGTCGAAGAACTAAATTTCTGAATGATGTTAGTTACTGGTCTTACGCCTCAGATAAAGAAGAAAACAATACGTGACGGTTAAAATCGTCGAATTAAAAGAAGCAAAGGATATTATCGTCGTCGCTCTTTTCGCGAACGAAACGACTGCAAACATTGATCGATGTTAAATTGATAACCCAGAACAGAACGATGAAGCAAGAACGACGACACACTTCCTCGTATCTCTCATTTCTTGACTTTTTTCTCTTCTTCCTTTTTTATTCATCATGACTTCTATGTTATCGTTTTATGCTTCATTCTTTTGGAACCGCGTTCTGTGATCTCTCTGTTTATCACTGTTTAACGAAGTAACCGCTCGATAAGAGATCGTTCTTGAGAGAATCGCAGGAATATTCGAGTCCCGATTCAATTTTTGGCGAATCTCTTTGCTCGATGGAAGGAACAGTAACCAGGAAAGATTCACGACAGACTGGTGCAGAGACTGGTCTTGCCAGGAAAATACGATACTACTGCGTTTCAGGAACTGTATGACGAGCATCGACTCCGGCATTTGGCCTTTCGATCTGTTCGATTAATACGAAGTATTTTATACACTTAGAAACGTGAAAATAATCGAACGTAATTCATAATTCATATATTGTAACCGAATGTTTCTTCATACAATTAACAGTAGCTAACTTGAGAATTGTAAACTTTTCACACGTTTCTCTCCTAAATTCAATTTGGACATTCAAATTCGGATATCCAAATTTAGATTTACAGTGTCGAGTTTGAACATTTGGATTTTAATATTGGAATGTGAACATTCCCTCTGTCGCGCGATACTTTACAAATTTCCATTTCTACTTCTTCTTTAACTAAAAACTGGACAATAAAACAAAGAATATGGGGATACAACGTTTCTAGCTATAAGAAGATACTTATTTCAAAAAAATTAACTAACCATCGCCTATTATGATGTTCTTCATTATCCTAAATTCTCATTCCCTAATCCACGATCTGCTGTTTCCAACTGCACATCAACGTCAGAAACACCAATCAATCGATTAACGCATTTCCCCCGTCCGGAAACGCGATTATGCAACATCAGAGGAATGTGAACAACTTCTGAAGCGCTAATCTTTCCGGATGCAAATTAAAAGTAATCAACCGCGACTCCGTGGCTCTAAGGAGGTTAAGTTTATGAACGCGTTTTCAGTATGAGGCCGTGAGGCTAAGACTGCGAGAGAGGAGCAAGAGTAAAGGTGGCTGGCACTGGAGGAAAGAGGAGGAACGAGGGAGAGTGCTGAGCCAGCATAGCCGGCTTGCCAGCCTGCACATCGATACCAACCAGTCAGCCAGCAAGCCAACCTACCAATGAACCCACCTACAGTCGATAGAAAGGTTTTTTTTTTTATGAGGAAACATTACATATGCGATAATTCGATGTAAATTGAAAATTTTCGATCGGAATCGTTCTGGTACCGCGATCGTTGATCGACGTTCTCCTACCGGCTGATGTAATTCTGAGAGAAGAAAGTTACGTTATCATTAAGGACAGTATTAGTGACAGCAACAACAGCAGAGGAAATTTAACATGTATCGAAAATTGTTTATAATAACAATCAAGATATCGTTCGATGTATCAAAAATTG